TGTTATCTCCACCACTAGCTGAAATTAATAGTCCATTAGAACCATATCGGAATAATGTATCCAATGCATTATCCCATTAGAGTTTCTAACTACGTTTCAGGGGGGTAAGTGTAATTATCGATACCACAGGGACCTTAAAGTTATTTAAGCATACCTCAGGGGTGTGAGTGTAATTTACCCTATATATTTAAGGATAATTTGACAAAACCACCTCATTACACAAGTGCAATTACAATGAACTCAAATTTTTTTTGTATTTTTAAGATAAATTCAAAACATCTTTTATTAATAAAAACTAATTAAATATCACCATTATACCCTTATCTTAATATAAAAGGTATCTTATGGTAGAATATAAATATACGTAATATTTGTTTCTCTCTTTTCTCTCTCTAGATCTGATTTTCTCCATTTTTTCTCTTAGGGTAGAACATAAATATACGTAATATTTGTTTCTCTATTTTTTCTCTCTAGATCTGATTTTCTCCATTTTTTTCTATTGACCATTGCGCCTCTCTCTTCCCGTTCAGCCAACGTTTCTGTCTCTTCTCTTTCCACCGGCGTCGCCCCCGCCCCTCTTTCCTCTCTCTCTTCACCGGTCGCCGTGCAATCTCTATGCGGTGGTAAAAAAAGGTATTTTTTTGTTGTTTCAAACATCTTTCTATGGTGTTTAGGGTTTGTGGGGCATAATTATAAGGGTTAATCACAAAAAGGCCCATGACAAGGGCACTTAATTAAAAGAGGGACATCCAACTTTTTTGTCTGTCAAATAAATCCAACTCATTCAAACTTATTTGCAAATAAGGAAAATCCTTTTATATATATACCAACATTACCCTCAATTCATTGAAACCCAATTCAACTCAAATTTCATGATTTACACCCCAATTTCACCAATTAACCAATTTTAACCATAATTTCAATTTTGACCCCAAATTTGACCCGCCACCACGGGATACCGCCGGTCGCCGCAGTTGACTTTTTTTTTTTTTTTTTTTTTTGAAAATTTTTTTTCCCTGAAATTTTTTTCCGACCGGGCAACTGCCGTTGACTGCCATGTCTCATGCGTTGACTTTTTTTTTTCTTAAAACAAAATATTTTAATTAATATTACTATCTTGGCTGCTAAAATTACTGTCTCCGGCAGTTATTTAACTGTCCGAGACAGGAAATTTCACTGTTAATTGACTTTTTTTTTTCTTCAAAAATATTTTAATTAATATTACTATCTTTGCTGCTAAATTACTGTCCCCAGCAGTTATTTAACTGTTAATTGACTTCTTTTTTTTAATATTTTAATTAATTACTGTATTCGTTGCTAAATTACTGTCTCCAGCAGTTATTTAACTGTCGAAGACAGTAATTTAACTGTTAATTGACTTTTTTTATTCTTAAAAAAATATTTTTAATTAATATTACCGTATTCGTTGCTAAATTACTGTCTCCGGCAGTTATTTAACTGTCGGAGACACTAATTTAACTGTTAATTGGCTTTTTTATTCTTAAAAAACATATTTATAATTAATATTACTGTATTTGTTGCTAAATTACTGTCTCCAACAGTTATTTAACTGTTGGAGACAGTAATTTAACTGTTAATTGATTGTTTTATTCTTAAAAAAAATATTTTTAATTAATATTACCGTATTCGTTGCTAAAGTACTGTCTCCAGCAGTTATTTAAGTGTCGGAGACAGTAATTTAACTGTTAATTGGCTTTTTTATTCTTAAAAGACATATTTATAATTAATATTACTGTATTTGTTGCTAAATTACTGTCTCTAGCAGTTATTTAACTGTCGGAGACAGTAATTTAACTGTTAATTGACTTCTTTTTTTTGAATTTTTTTTTCTTAAAAAAAATTATTTTAATTAATATTATTGCCTTGGCTGCTAAATTACTGTCTCCAACAGTAATTTAACTGTCTTAGACAATAATATTAATAATATTACTGTTCGGGAAAATAATATTCGTAATATTACTGTCCCAAACAGTAATATTACTGTCTGAGACAGTAATTTAGTAGGCAAGACAATAATATTAATTAAAATATTTTTTTCTAAAAAAAAATTCAAAAAAAAAAAGTCAACGCCGGAATCTGGCCGGAAAAAAAAATTCAGAAAAAAAATTATTTTCTGAAAAAAAAAATTTTTGGGGGTTAATGTGATATATTTGTTTAAATCCGGGGTCAATGTGTAATATTAAGGAAGTTAGAGCATAATGGATGGAATTGATAAGAATTATATTATGGAGGGTATTTTAGACTAAAGACATGGGGATTGATTTAATTGAATGACTGTTTTTTGTGTGGACCAAAATGCATTTAAGTCTCTTGTGATGGGCCTTTTTGCTATTCGCCCTAATTATAATTGGGGGTGATTTTTGTGTAAATTAATTAATCAATTTCACGGTGAATTTGTGAGAATGTAGTAATTGGTATTGTGCATGAAGATGTAGCTTTGATGAAAAAGTTAGGCTTATATGCTTGAGGTTTTCGATTGTATGGACCAAAATAATGGAAAATGTATTCTAATTAATTGCATATATATATATATATATATATATATATATATATATATATATTGTAGGTGGGAGATTGAGCCCCGGCGTAAACATAGATGGCCTTGTTGGTGGTGGTGTACTGGTCTTGAATTTTTTTCCGGACATAGTAGTGATTTACGTTTCAAATAGTGGATTTTCGAATATTGGATTTATGTATAGTGAATTTACGTTTTTTATCATTTGTTATTTTTTAGTTGTGTTACTAGTGGATTACGTATGTTTTTAGTGGATTTCGATAAGTTTGTTGTGGATTATGTTCATGTTAAAGTGGATTACGTTATTTTACAGTGAGTTTTACAGTAATTTTACAATGGTTTTCTATAAATTTGTAGTAGTTTCCGATGAGTATATAGTGGATTTTAATTTTCGTGGATTACACTAATTTAACAGTGGTTTTCAATGAACATATAGTGAATTACACTAATTTAACAATGGGTTACACTAATTTAATAGTAGATTACGTTAATATTAATGTGGGTTAGGCTTATTTTATAGTAATTTTTAATTTTCCTATTGGTTTTCGATAAATTTAGTGGTTTTCGATGAGTATGTAGTGGATTTGTTTTTATAAAATATGAACCATTTAAAAAACTGAAATAAAATAAAAAAAAATAAAAAAAAATTACAAATTTTTGTTTTAAATGGAAAAAAAACCTATTAAAAAAAATAAGAAAAATGAAAAAACATAAACTAAAATTGCGTGAGGAGAGAGAGAATAGGGGGTGGGTGAGATAGTGGAGAGAAATAAGGGATTTTCATATTAAAAAAAAATTAATGATTTTCCATAATAATATAATATTGTAATTTTGACCAATAGTAAATATGGGCATTTTGGATAATTTGAGTCGATTGGATTTTTAACAAATATCAATTAAAATAAAAGGATTTATCAAGAAGTCAAAATTGAATGGAGGGGTTTTGTCAAATAGCCCCCATATTTTTATGGGGTTTTTGTGATAAAGTCCCCAATCATACACCTTTATTATTTTAGGTTCATGGCCCTTTTCTTCTTTACACATAAGCCCATCACCTACACCTTAGTAACTAAAAAGGCAAATTACTGTTTTATGACCGTTTTGCCCTCATATATGAGCTGCTCATTAATTGAACCCTAAGCTCAATATTAAAGATTCTCTACACGTCCGAACATAAGGTTTCTCTCTGTAAATTTTCATTCGCTGAATCTCGCGTTATACCTTCATCTCCACTGCAGATAAGTACGGTGCGTGAATGAATTCGAACATAGTCAAGCTATTTTTCAAAAAACTTTTGAATACGCAAAACGATCGGAATGTGAATTACGGGAAATCGGAAATATTGACGTTCGGTGTTTGTATGTTTTGAATTATGTTGAGTTTTTGGAATTTTTTTGTGTGTTTTTGTTCGAAGGATAATTTCACAATATTTTGGATGTATTACTTTTGTTTTGTAATAACATGTTCATTAAATGAAGTGTTTGGTGTTGTCACGGTAAGTTTTTATAATATTACTATAACTGGCAGTACAATTTTGAGTATACAATTTGTTTATACCTTGACAGTCGTTTTTTCCTTTGTTATTATGTTACTGCTAGTAACATTACAATTAGTATATAGTTGTAATTGATGGATACATGGCTTCGTTGCTTAGATTTGACTTTCTTTTCACTTTATACGTATGTTACTGTCAATGACAGTATAATTAATGTATAGTTGAATTTGCAGATATGACGACTCCTTCTGTTGTGCTGTTGTTAAAATATGGTGAATGTTATACAGTTACAGAGCTTAGAATAGGGATGGGTTATGCTCATATTGCGGATTTTGTATGTTCACGATGGGAATACTTGCATCGTGATGAACTGTCGTTCATGTATCATGTCCCCACGGTTGGTGATTTTTTACTAAAAGATGACAAAGATGTACATGGCTTCTTTTACTAGTTGATCTATTTTCTATTCGAAGGATTGAAGTTACTGTGAAGGTAGTTCAGTCATCGTGCAATTTGGTTGAAACAAGGTCGATGGCATGTTCTCCCAGTACATTACCTGTCTTTGATGTTCAAGCAAACACTGGAATTGCTAATTCACAATGTAATCCACTTAGTGTTTCCTGCACAAAGAAGGTTTTGCTCAGTTCACATTGGGCAAACTTGATTACTGATGTCGGTCAAGTATTTCGTGAGGGGCGGCTAGAATTTAGAAAAAGTTTGTCGAAGTTTGCATTTGAATTCAAGTATACTAAAAATGACAAGAGGAGAGTGACAGTTGTTTGCAAGTTCATAGAGTCGAAAAATTGTTTATGCAGAATTCATGCCTTAGTTGAATTTTTGACTGATTTTTTTAATATACGTACTTATGAGAAATTCCATATATGTGGATCAACATTTAGTGCTGTGAAGAAGTTAAGAATGGGTTCTAAGATTATAGCTGAAGCTATTGTGGAGAATATGTAGGCAAAACCATTGATGTGTGCTAATGATGTTATTATTAAAGCGAAGAAGGATTACGGGATCACTATTAACTATCATGTAGCATGGAGAGCTATTGAAGCTAGCGGGATTTGTATATTTGGAGATGAAGCATTGTCCTTTTTCATTCCTCACGTTGTACTTTCGCGAAGCTGGACGTTGTAATCCCGATAGTGTTTTCGACGTGGAAGTTGATGATGCAAATAACTCGTTCAAGCGGTGCTTCTTCAGCTTTGGGGCATCTTTATCTGGATTTAAGTTCTGTCGTCAAATGCTCATCTTGGATGGCACATTTTTGAAAGGAAAATACAAGGGTGTTCTTCTAAGTGCCATTGCGAAAGATGCAAGAAATGGCGAGTTTTACATTTTCAGTTTCAGTTTCAGTGATAGTTTATTTTACTGTCAATGATAGTAACATACCACTTCTTGTGTTTTATTTTTTTAGGTCTCTATCCAGTTGCATTTGTTATTGTACGGGATGAAAATATTTCTAATTGGGATTATTTCATGAATCATTTAAGAATTGCACTTAATACATATAGTGTTTTGACATTTGTATCTGATCGACAACGAGGCATTTTGGAAGCTGTTAAAAACATTTTTCCCCATTTTCATCATTCTTTTTGCATTCTGCATCTAGAGAATAATTTGAAGAATAGGTTGAGTGGGATGCCGCCTAATTACAGGGATATGTTAGTAAGACAATTTACAGCTTGTGCATATGCTCCAACCTAAGCAAATTTTCCATCAGAAACTTGACAAATTGAAATCAAGTGGTTCGAAAAAAGTTATTGATTTCTTGTCGAAGTTGCCTTTTGATAATTGGGCTTATGCTTACTCTGAAACTTGTAGGTATGGTGAGTTATATTCGAATGTAGTAGAGTCATGGAATTCTGCAATGAAGAAATTCCGACATCTGCCGATTACAGAGTTGGTTGACTCCATTCGGGGATGGGTAATGGATAAAGTATGTGAAAGGATTACAGAATCGAAGGGTATCAAAACGATGTAGTGTCCAGAGATGGAAAATGTGCTTAACAATTTTGTGGATGCTGGAAGGACATGGAATGTGAGAAGGTCAACTGCAACAGTTATTGAAGTGCATTCAGATCCGCATGTTATTGTGGATTTGTTTAGTAGAACTTGTACCTGTCGGATGTGGCAAATTACTGGTTTCCCTTGCTGCCATGCAGCTATTGCGCTCTTTAATACCCCCGAAACAGAATGATATACATATATTGATCCCTTGTTTTATGCGTCGTATTTCCGTAGCACTTATTCGTTTCCAATTCATCCCTTTTTGGTGGATTTTGAACAGGTTGAGCAGCCTATTGTTCGACCTCCTTCTTGCCAGACGCGAAGGGGCAGACCGAAAAGGAAGAGAATACCATCTTGTAGTGAGAATATTAAGAAAAAAATCAAGTGTGGGAGATGTTCTGAGTTTGGTCACCATAATAGGAAGTCTTGCAACAAAAATATTTGAATGTAATAGACTCTGTTTTTCTAGGTGACTCTGTTTTTCTCTGTTTCTCTAGGTGTTTTTTACTGCACATGACAGTAGTTTTTACCTATTTAATGTTTTCTTTATGTTTTGGTACTATTTTATTGTCACTGGCAATAACATTATTAATTTGGTGCAATTTTACATTGTTATTCGAATTGGATTGGTGTCAAATGTTCATAATTGTATGAATTAACATTTACAAAATTAATTTTAGTAGTGACATAATGGGAATCGGACACGTGTACGCAACGGAAAACAAAAATTTTATGCGAATTAAACAAGTTTAAATCACATAACCACATGCCCGACATATATAAAACAATTAATTGCGTACCTTTGCGCTTCCAGCGAAATTTAAAACAAACATACATGTGAATTAATTAATCGAAATTAAATCAACTAGCATACTCGCATTAAATCAAATAATCATGCTCGCAGTAAACATTCAATTTCATGTAGTCACATAAAATCATACAACACACTTACTAACGAACATGCATAAATAAACACGGATTCGAATTATTACCTCTTGAAGCGTGAGGTAGGCGCACGAGTCGACGCAAGATTGCCACGGAAACCAATCCGTGCAATCCGGGAGCAGCGGCGGCGAGCGGCAGCGTGAGCGGCGGTGGCGACGGCGCAACCGGCGGCGGCACGGTCGTGGGGCAGCTCCTCGGTTCTTCGATCTTTCTCCTCTCGGATTTCACCTCGTATACTTCGATCTACTAAAACGTGGCACTAGACACGCAGTAGTTAGAATAAACGGAAAGAATAAACAAAGAAAAGAACTACCACGATTAATCGGCCAAGAGGAGGCCGATTCCGGCGAGTGCACGGCGACGGCGGCGGTGTTGGCCGCGGGGGGGGAGGGGGGGAGATCGGCCGAGAGAGAGGGAGCGGCTAGGGTTTCGTGTGTTAGTTGTGTGTTGTCGAGTATGTGTGCAAGACCTATAAATCAAGTATTTATAGTGTCTTGTATAAAAATCATAACGGGCTTAAGTTGGACCGGGCCCAACAACTTAAGTTCGTTAGTTCTTTTACTCGCTCGTCTCTCTCAATTCGATGATCGGAAAATTGTAACAATTAAAGTTTCGGAATCATTATAATTTTCTCGTCACTACGAGTGCCAATTCTCAATTTCCAACTTTCTAAAAGTGGAAACCCTAATTCAGTGCACTTTCTAAATTTGGAAACTTCCCGATTTAGAAAGTCCACTAAGATGTTCGCCTATTCTTTTCCTTTTCTTATTCTCATTCATAATTCCAAATTACGAATGTTGGACCCAATCATATTGACTTCCAATCATGCAAAGATAAAACATTTTTACCTTTGACCGTTCATTCAAAGATCTCATGTGCACGAGCAGTGTGACCCTCGATAGTTCAGGTGTAAGCTAGCCATGGGCCCACAACCCTTTGTGGTCAAAACTCGTCCCTTAGAGTTACGATTAAGATGAAGCTCGTTTCACCTTAATCACCCAACGAATCAAGATTGGCGTCTAGCAACTACGCGTCATGATTCCCTAGATACAAATGAAGTGCCTACAAGAACCTTTTGATATAGTTAGCGTACAGTACGATCCCTTCGATTCATATGTCCCGATTGAACTAGAGGCATTGGTTCATCGAGACCTCCTTAGTAGTTCAATGACTGTGCGGTCGTTCTAAGTGTTGTAATCGTTACGTGCATGACTTAGAGAATCGAATTCTCTAATCATCACTTAGTCAGCTCTGGCCAGGGACTTAGAGATTACAAACTATGAGAACACACAGGATATCCAACACTATTCTAGCGATCGAATCCCCGACTACAATGCACAGACCTCCCACTAGATTTCGGACTGCACGAACACTGGCCCTTGGGGTGGTCCTCGGTGGAACTCAGGGACATGTACCGATACAGCTAGTCCTCTAGTGAAGTCACGGTGATGTCTAGGTCATAAGGACTAACGGTATACAACTATACCATAGATATCTCTACTCGATTATTGAGAACCACTTAGACATTTCTAGGGTGAGAGAGTTCAGTGAACTCGTCAACTTACGAGCACCCACTTATGCATGCCGATATCACAATACCGTTTACTGATGAGATGCAGTACACATACACTAAGTGCTAGTCTCTTAATGGGAAAGGCCGATATTTTCATTGGTGGCGTAACCCTTCGACTAGGAACACGTTTAACAGTTATAATACTAAAGTAAATATCTCACGATCCTAACGATCAATTACTAGTACTTGTAATAACTGTAAGGACTATATCTATGCTTGTGACAAAGGGACTAAGATATAGAATGACAAGGTGTTTTATCATTAATACGAAAAAGGTTTGTTTATTACAATAATAAATGGAAAGACCATAGCCATAGGTTGGCTTGTTGGCCACCTACTCTAACAATCTCCCACTTGACCTTAAGCCAACTACCCATGAATCGCAATCCCATCGACTCTTGATGTTTCTCGTGGACCGACCTTGGTAAAGGCTTCGTGAAGGGGTCTGCAACGTTCTCTTCCGAGGTGACTCGTTCTACCCTAACTTCACCTCTATCAATGATCTCTCGGATCACATGATACTTCCTCAGAATATGCTTGGATTTCTGATGAGATCTCGGCTGCTTAGCTTGCGCCACGGCTCCGGTGTTATCACAGTACAACGGTACTGGATCATTAGCATTAGGAATGACACCCAACTCTTGGATGAACTTCCTTACCCATGTCCCTTCTATTGCAGCTTCGGACGCTGCAATGTATTCAACTTCGGTAGTGGAATCGGCCGTCTTGCTCTGCTTGGAACTCTTCCAACACACGGCACCACCATTAAGCGTGAATATTAATCCCAAGTTCGACTTTGAGTCGTCCACATCCGATTGAAAGCTAGAGTCGGTAAAGCCCTCTAATTTCAACTCGGCACCCCCATAGACCAAAAATATATCCTTAGTCCTTCGTAAGTATTTTATGATATCTTTCACGGCCTTCCAGTGAGCTAGACCGGGGTTAGACTGATATCGGCTTGTGATACTCACAGCACATGCGATATCGGGTCTTGTACATAGCATGCCATACATTATGCTTCCTATGGCAGAAGCATAAGGCGTCCTTTTCATCTCCTCGATTTGACTAGGTGTTTAAGGACACATAGATCTCGAGAGACGAACCCGTGGGACATTGGCAAGAATTCCTTCTTGGATTCTTCCATGCTAAACCGTTTCATAACGGTGTCTATGTACAGGCTTTGGGATAAGCCAAGCATCTTTCTTGCTCTATCTCTATAGATGCGTATTCCTAATACATAAGATGTTTCTCCCAAATCCTTCATTGAGAAATGTGTGGACAACCATGCTTTCGTTTGTTGCAACATTCATACGTCATTCCCAATGAGTAGAATATCATCAACATAAAGCACCAAAAGTATTACTGCCCTCCCACTAACCTTCTTGTATACACAAGGTTCCTCCGGATTCTTCTCAAAATCAAACTCTTTGATAGTTGAGTCGAACCTAATGTTCCAACTACGGGATGCTTGTTTCAATCCATAAATGGATCGCTGGAGCTTGCAAACCTTTTGCTCACTTCCAGAAGATATGAAGCCTTCCGGCTGCGCCATGTAAATTTCTTCCTCAATGTCTCCATTAAGGAAAGCGGTCTGCACATTCATTTGCCATATCTCGTAGTCGTACCACGCAGCTATGGCCAGCAAAATCCTAATGGACTTTAGCATCGCGACTGGTGAAAAGGTTTCCTCATAGTCAACACCTTGCCTTTGAGTATATCCTTTCGCTACCAATCTAGCTTTATAGGTCGATACCTTTCCATCTACTCCAATTTTCTTCTTATAGATCCACTTGCACCCTATGGGAACTATTCCCTTAGGTCGATCTACCAAGGTGCACACCTTGTTGGAGTACATGGAGTCCATTTCAAATTTCATGGCAGTTAGCCAATGTCCCATGTCCGCATCCGATACGGCCTCATTGTATGTTCTTGGATCTTGTCCAAGATCAACATGATCTTCATCATTTTCGAGGAGGAATAACCTATCCGGCATTTTCCGAACTCTTTCGGATCTACGCATCGTAGGTTCAGGAGGTATATTAGTGGGTTGTCGTATTGGTTCGATTACTTGTTATTGCGCTTGAACTTCACTTTGCGGTTCTTGAACTACTTCAAGTTCTATCATGCTGCCTTTTCTATCAGATAGAAACTCCCTTTCTAAAAAGGTGGCATTTCTCGAAACAAACGTCTTTGCTTCCTTGACATAATATAATCCGTATCCCATTGAGTCTTCGGGATACCCCACAAAGTAGCACAAGTCGGATTTACTATCCAACTTGTCTCCCACTAATCGCTTCACATAAGCGGGACAACCCCATATCCTAATATGTTTGAAGTTGGGTTTCCGGGAATGCCAAAGTTCACAAGGTGTGGATTTAACTGCTTTGGTGTTAACTCTATTCAGGAAATACGCGGCAGTGCGAAGTGCATGACCCCACAAGTATGCCGGTAAGTTGGTGAACCCCATCATAGATCGAAACATATCTAATAAGGTTCTATTCCGACGTTCGGAAACTCCATTAAGCTGAGGATTTCCAGGTGGAGCCCATTGAGATTGTATTCCATTCCATTTTAGGTAGTCAATGAACTCGATGCTCAAGTATTCTCCACTACGATCGGATCGTCGCTTCTTAATACTTCGCCTGAGCTGCTTCTCTACTTTGTGTCTTAAATCTTTGAACTTTTCAAATGTTTCGGACTTGTACTTCATCAAGTACACGTACCCATACCTAGAATAATTGTCGGTAAAGGTAGCGAAGTAGTTGTATCCACCCTTCACACTAACACTTAGTGGACCACATACGTCTGTATGAATCAAATTCAAAAGACCCTCGGCTCGTTCCATTTTCCCTTTGTAGGGTGACTTGGTCATTTTCCCTTTAAGGCAAGATTCACAAGTTTGTAGTGATTTGACGTCCTCTAAAGAGAACAATCCTTCACTAACAAAATCGTTCATCCTTCTTAAAGAGATATGACCTAATCTAATGTGCCAAAGTTGGGCGGGGTTTTG